AAAATTTAAAATGTCTATAAAAGTCTCAAAAAGGTCATTATATCATGTGGATACAGAAAACACTAACATTAAAATTTGGAGAAGATTTCAAGTAGGTAACTGCGTTCATTTGTTTTTGAGTTCCACAAAAAACCAAAATCGATTATTTTGTCAAAAACTAAAATGTTTGTGTAAAAATTATTTGTATATTGTTTACTCAATTTTTTTCACATTTTTGAAAAGAATTGGGGATTTTCAGTTTTGAGTTGTCAAAAGTACCACTTGATACAGTTTCCTATCAGGAACCACACTCGAAGTATTTTTTGTATACATATACACCAAAATTGGCAAAATTACGGCCATAAGTATACTGGACACTGGTGTATCTCAGTATTGGTACAACTCAATTCCCGGTCAAATCTCCTTGAGTATACCTCGCTCTGTGAGCTAATTCTACTAAGATGGGCAATCCGCCCAGGGCGGTTTTGATATAGTTATATATAGGCGTATAATTAGTTAGGTATACTATATACTTCAAATTTAGATATACAACCTTAGCTACCAAACTTAGAATTTACAAATTTATCTAGGTTTAATAGCTTATATATAAGTGTGTAACACATTATAGGACGTCATTTCAGAATTTAGTATGTAATGCTAAGCAATTATGTCCTAATCAGTCACACAGCCATTCGAAAATAGGTCACATTAAATAATTAATAGTTATTATCATATAACGTCATGACATTTTTATTATAATTTTATAATTTTTTTGAAGAGTTTTTTTGAAGAGTAATGAAAAAAATTACACAGATACATAATGTAAAAATATATATTTTTTCAGTTTAAAACGATCAAAGAAAAAGGAAATTATAGAAGACAGTTTAAGAAAGTTGATGTTAAATTAAGCACTTAAAATGTTTAATAATTATAATATCTAGGTATGGAAAGAAGTGAAGAGAATTTAGATTCAAAAATTTATTTTGGTATCATAATTCATATTTCATTAAAAATGTCTAAATAAACTATCAAAATGTTATTATTTATGTTGCAAAAGCGCCAATCAATTTAAACAACTAATCTGTAAAATATTATTAGTATCTATATGCTATAAGCCTGGCGATACAAATGCACACCGTTTCATATATTAAATTATGCTGGGGCTATTAAAATATGAAAAATTGAAAATGTAATCAATTCTAAAATTTTAAATAAAAAACCATGCCAATAACGGCCGAAGAAGCATTTAAACCTGTCTAGACAGTAGAGAGTAGACGTTAATAATTACTCTATATATATAGTCCTTAAACAGCAGTGGTCACTGGTCACCAACTAATTGAAGAGCCACGTCAGGAATTCGAGAAGTTTTCGGAGGCAATTAAAATTCAATAAACATAATTTACTAAAATACGTAAAGACTGACCGACGGGCGACGACAGTATCGGTCGCGAGTATATCGATACAATGAGGTCTTTGAAAGTATACATGTCGAGGCCGCAGAGTATTGGAGTCCGTCGGTTTTCATTAAACTCACGAACGAGTAACAAAGATATTTTTCGTTTGTCTGCAGTCTCATACAGGAAAGCGGTGAATAATGTGTCAACTTGTAACTTGTAGGCATTTAAAGCATTTACCAATAAAGCTTTATCACTGTATCAGTCTCAAACATGTGTACCAAATGTATTTATTTCGCTAGATAATAGTTTTTCCATTAATATATATGTCGATATTCATGCAACATCAATATTATTCAACAGCAATATACAAAAAAATACATACCTATAGATAATAATTGATGATACATTTTGAATCATTCGTCGTCATAAATTTGTCATATTATTATAGATATTAGATAATTTTAAAATTATTATAGCTTATTAATATAAAATTGTCAATAGTTAGGTTTTTGAATTAGGCAATATTAAAAACAAAATCGATTTTATGAAAAACTAGATTAGATTCAAAATTTCAGTTTTGTTTTTGTATTTTTTCGTCTATTTTTAAAATATTAGGATCTTTTACTTTTGTCCTCAAAAAGGCCGTAGCTGGCAAAATATTTGTGTGGGGGTTTAAGGTAAAAATATTTTTTTACTATAGCAAATTTTAAAATTTCAAACAAAATTTGTTAATTTCGGGGTGGGTCTGAACAATAATTTCCCCAAGGCCTTGTATTAACTATATCCAATTTGATACCAGAATTCATCCATAAAGTTAAAAATGAAATATTTTCAAAGCACCATCATAAGGTGATTATAGACACACACAAAAAATAATAAATAAAAAAAATACGAATACGAGTTAGCTTAACACGTATGTGCCTACTGTCTATAACATCTAAGACGACAAAATAGAAAGGGCTTACTAAAAAATAAAAAAATATATTTTGGATGTAGTGTGTACCTACTTATAGACTATAGTATAATTGTACATTTGTACGGGCACATAATATCTTCGTTGCCCGTTAAAAATGTCAACTGTATTAATATATATGATTCAAACTTTGTTCAATTCCCATTCGCTATTTAATATTTTGTGAAATGGTGTTCAAAACATTTTCTACTATTATATTATAATCTGTGAACAATGGTAACAGTTATTTATAAACAAACATTTTTTTATTTCCATTGACCATTGTTAATCTGAAAATACTTATGCGAGCACTTCGAAATACGAAACCTGTAAAATTCTCTCTCGGCGGTGCACTCTTAAGCATCATATCATAGATCAGCCATCAGCGTTGGTCAGTCGGGACGCATTCGATGATATATATTACTTAATGATTAATCCCGCCCGTACCAAATAAAGGGTCCGTGAGACTAACTTGTGATTATGCGAGTAATACATTATTATTGGGTGGAAAAATTTCTAACCCCGCAAGGTACCTATGTAGTAAATGAATAATTTCTAACTCTAAAGTCTAAAGTTTCAAAGTGATACCAAGTTTAACGTTTTGACCTCTTCCAACATACCTACGCTTGTATGTACGCATGTGCGCTTGTACTTATTGATGTAGCTATTAGCTGTAAACTCGACTTCACCCGGGAAAAAATTATCAATTAATATTCTATACAAAATACGTGTATACGACGTTAAATTGGTATACTTAATACTAATTGTATACTTATACCTCAGTTCAGATTTTTAGCTCTTGGTATATTTCCGAACTTGATCCAAACTACTCCTAAACTTTCTTCATAACTCCAATAACCATCACTGAATTTTTCATTAACATCGGTCTAGTAGTTTTTGAATCGTTAGGCAGAAGGATCATTTAATAAACTCTCATATTAATTGTTTTTATATATTATACTTTGTTTATTCGAGGCCACAACTCGATAATTCGATACACGCTTTTACCTCATCAGCTCATCTGCCCAGGTAACCAATGGCAACCATTTATGTAGAAAAAACATTATAATTAATTCTATACTATAACTGTATACTAATAATATATAACCTGGCACAGTGACGAACACAGATATTTTCAAGGGGGGGGGGGGTTACACAGGACCTTCCCGAACCACATTATACCTCGATTTGGTTGAAAACTATTACTAATATATTAGGAACATTATATACGTAATGAAAATTAGAATTTTTTTAAATTTATATTTGTACTTTGTTTATGTGTAACTTTATTAAGCTATACCTATAATAATATAATATTAACAATTTATCATACTTTTACAGTACTCACAGGCCATAATGCATTTACCAAAATCAATTTTTTTTTGTCAAAATTCTAACTTCAGACGTTCATATAATCGTCAATAATTTAAAAAAAACGAATGAAATTCGAAATTTTTTTATGCTTATAAATAGCTTTAAAAGAGTGAAGATATTTAAAAAAATTGTAAGGTGTATAAACAATGCAAATTTAAACCTTCAGTGAAAATTTCATGTATCTACAGTTATTTTTTTATACAAAAAATTTTGAAGAGTTTATTAAGGAGTTATTATATAGATAACATGTTAATATTCTTCTTTGTTTGCGTGCGGTGCGCATCACGTTATAGGTACACTTGTGTGTAATGGTACATTTTTTACCTACTTCCTATTATGAAAACACATTTAAAAATGCAAAATTGTTTGACGAATGCCTATAGTTTTAATCGTTACTAAATTGAAATTGAAATGTATTTTAATCCGACTAAATTTAAGTTGATTGGATATTATGATTTCACAGACTCTAATTTAAAAATATAAACATGTGAGGGGTAGGTAGGTGTGAATATTTTTACGTAATTTTGTACAGTGAAAAAAATACCAGGATGGGGGGGGGGGGGCAAATTCCTATTGAAAAATAAGGCCTTTCAGTTTTTGGCAAATTTTTCAACCTTCTCCATAAAAACGTTCTTTCAACTATTGCGAACATTTGAAAAAAATATTAGTCAAACCGTTTTCAAGTTATGGCTTTATATCGACTACGCCGTACAACACCGAACTCGGATGCATGCCTGCCGCACGGTGCATGTTACAACACGTGAAATCATGTTATTTTACGAATAGGTACGTATATTATAATTCTATACTTCAACATATATAATATTGTGAAAATATTTATATTATCGGACTATTCGATTAGTAAAAAATGTGCCGCCGTAGAAGGCCGTCCGACGGTATGCCGGTACATATATAATGCATATATATATTGTGGATAAGTCACATATTTGTGTTTGTATCGAAACAAATATTGTCCTAAAATATTTTTCGTCTCCCGTAGAACCACCGTAGCGGTAGGTTCCTGAACACACACACAAATACACAATATACAGGTATACATGTTATATATATAAGACGATAACAACCAGTTTTGGCCCTACCTCTCTACAGCAGGCAAAAATAAAAATAAAATAATAATATTATTGTAGCTGTCGTGTACAGCACAGCGCGTTCAGATAATATTATAATAGTATTACGGGTAGCGGCGACGGCGGCGGCGGCAGCAGATGCCCCTAAATGGATAGTTGGACCGCGGTGGCGGAGGAGTGGCGGTGTCTGGACGGCATTATGGATTATTGTGTGTTGCGCGAACGACGGCGGCAGCGTCGTCGTCGTCGTCACCGTCACCGTTGTCGTTCGCGTGTGTGTGTTGTGTGGTATTGGCGAATCGCTGCCGGGAGGCAATAACATCAAGGTTACCGTATACCGCTCGCTGACCAACAGCACTGCCGATCCCTCCCAGTGAGTGGGCACGTGAGATAACGTCTCCGTCGACCGTCTCTACTGTCGGGCACGACGTTCAAGTGTATAGTACACGGCCAAATGGTTTTGTTATTATTGTATTTATATTAATTGTTATTATTCATTATAATATTTTGTTATTGTTGTCAGTTGTAGTACTAGTACCATTCGTTCAGCCGACACGATCGTCGAGTGCGTTTTACATAATAATAATAATGTTATGTAGTCGTATGTGCCTTCTTATGTAATAATAACAATAATATCAGTCGTTATCAACGATGAGACGGTAACTCACTGAAGTCGTCCCGTCAGTGTTTGAGTGTTTTGTTTGGGTCGCCCATTTGTTCCGCCGAGTTTCGTCCGACTGCTTTTGCGATCCACCCATCAAGGTGTCTCCAATCCTCCGTAAAATCAAGATCGATCACGGCTGTGACATCGTACTGGTCATAACGAGATCCATCGACAATAAACATCTCCACGAGTTGCCGCCCTCGACCCTTCGATAGGGAGTGCTATTATGTGACAGTAGTCTCTGGGACATGTGCGACGACTACAAGCGATCACAAAAGCCCACCAATGGATTGGGCTGCCGTCAAGTGCACAGCGGTCACGCAACGTACGACGTTGGCATTCCGTTGGAGGAGAGCATGGACATCATCAATCAACAGTGCCAAGAGATTTACGAATTGAGAACACAGCTGAACCTGGTGATGAACGAAAGGGACATGTTGCTTAGCGAAGTCAGCCGTCTCAAATTTGATATGGAACTCTACGATCAGCGCATGATGTCCCATGACACCACCACCAGGTAAAGACTCACATATTTTACTTATTGATTCTGTACATTATTTGCTATGTTCAATTTGAATACATTTCTCATTGACTCTGTTAAAATGTTGAACATACTGGGTTATATGTTTTGCCCAAATTTATAAACCCTCTTTCAATCAAGGGTTTTTTTTGTTGGTGAAAATTCTAACGACACATGCCAATTTTTCATATTTTTTTCTGATAGTTTTATTATTAATTATTAATCATTACTTAAATTTTTACATTATTTCCAATTGCAACTAATTAGAATTCTTGAAAGTGGTTGAATTTGTGCGTTTAAAATAATCTTATATATTATTTAAGTTTTAATTTTAATTAGGCAATTTATTTGTTCTTAAGGCATATCAAGTGTATTAAATACCTATTATTAGGTTAATTAGGTACCTCTATCAGGTTATTTTTTATTTCTATGCTTTCAAATTTTGTTGAGTGACATTTGTACCTATAGTTTTTTTTATGGATTCTTTTGTATGAATCATTTTTGTTGAGTAGATTAAAAATGTCAATAGTGTTATTTGTTAGGTACCTATAGTCTATAGGTAGTCAATAATGAATTCATAGATTATTTATGCTAGTTCAATAGTTTCACTTTCTAAAAACTGACTTGTATTCAATACATATTAACAAATTGTTGATACCTTGTATAACTACTACAACTTGATAGTTACCACCATTACATTTTAAAATAATATTTCAAATACAGGATTAAGATTTGGATTAGGACATAATTTTCTATGTTCAAATGTTCAATGGGTACATTATTTTTATTTTATGGTATTCAAGGACTCTTTAGTTTTATTGAAACAAATTATAGACTTTGTAGGTATGACAATGGATTCATTATTTATTTTTATAGTCTGATAATACTTTATTAATGTACATATCATTTTGCAGTGTTTCACAGTTTCTATTTAAATACTCACTTTTAAAATAGTTACAGTGTTAAATAAATTCTTTGTCTTATTTATAATAACTATTGTATTCCTATTTACTGTTGTTGAAAATATTTGTTTTTTGTTATAAGTGGAACCTCTTAAAACATAACAAAATAAGATTCTTAACTATTAAACTTAACAAAAAAAATGTTATTGGTATATCCAATTTTTGTTGTATTAGACATGTAATATTATGGATGGCCTGTTTCTTTTTTGAAAAACCTACAAGTTTATTAAGTAATTAGTTTTGGAGATTATCCTGGACAAATATATAGCTTTTTTTTGTACAAAGAGATATTGTGAATCTAGTTAATTATGAATTAAGTGTGAATCGTTAGATTGTTTATAGTATCTAATTTCATCAATATTAGAAGAATATTAAAACATTTTGATTACCTAATATTTAATAGTGAAAATGTATTATATTTTTCAGAGAAGACAAGTATGACAAAAGCAATAATCGAAATTTTTTGAACCAATGTGAACAATATAGTCATTGGACTGGCACAATGTCCAAAAATAACATGGTTCAACCAGAACAATTTCATACATCTGCCTCGTAAGTTTCTATACATTTAAAGTAAACAATACGACTAAATCCATTTTCATGTATTTTAAGGTATGAGTTATCACAAGATTTGATTGAAAAGCAGATTGAGTTACTAGAAAGAAAATATGGAGGTGACAGAGCCAGACAAGCTGCACTAGTCATTCAACGAGCATTCAGACATTATATGCTGGTCAAAAAATTTGCTCATATTACAGCAATGGCAAAAGCTGAAAAAAGACTTAGTAAGCGATTGGAAGATACCCAAAGTTTACGATCTCATGATAGTCAGCTGAGTATAAGATCAGGGTCATTAAGAGAACGACGATCAGGCTACTCACCAACCAAGTGTAATTCTCTTCCACGTTCTAGATCTGGACGATGTGATTTAAATTATTATTACAGCTTGGAATCTTCATGTTCTCACTTCTACTCACATAATTACTCCTATAACGATATGAAAGTAAACAATGTCAGTACAATGAACCCGGAGACAGCAACTGAGCAATTTTTTTTCCAGGACGATATCACTAGTCAAGGGGCACATCAGATGATGCCTAACTTTTTATGTGGAAACAGCCACAACAATGGTTCAGACACATATAGACAAGCACACTCTGGTTCTGAATGTAATCAGTATGGGAGCAGTAGCTCTTCATCATGTATGTTTTCAGGGAGCTCAACTGGTTACCCATCTAATATTTCCAAAAATAAAGTTCCTCCCGAAGTTCCAAAACGAACTTCGTCAATATCATTTCGTTCTTTGCGGGAACAACATCAAAACATAGCAGCCGGTGCACTGAACAAAATGTCAGATAGCGGTAGCCTATCAAGTGTTCAATCTTCGGGTAGCGATGGTAGTCTTTCTAGTCAGTCACACAATTTAAATCAAACAAATTCTTCAGTTGACTCTTCCATGTTGTCAAATTCTATAGTGTCTTGGAATACAAAATCACAGGTATAATACATTTCTTTGTATATTATTCAGATTTTTTTTATCATCATTTTACTGTTCATATTTGTAATACAAAAAAAATGTTTCTTAGATTTCTGATGTGATCAGGAAACGTCAATATCGTATTGGTCTCAATCTCTTTAATAAGAAACCTTCAAAAGGTATTATTTACCTTGTGCGCAAAGGATTCTTGGATAATGCCCCCCACGCAGTTGCAAGATTTTTAATATCTCGCAAAGGCTTAAGCAAACAAATGATTGGTGAATATCTAGGAGATTTACAAAATTCATTTAATGCGGCTGCCTTGGAGTAAGTTGTGTTATTCAAATAAATCAAACAAAACTTAAAACCAGTATAAATTAAAATGTTTTGCATGGTTTTAAAATTATTTTTTATATTCAAAACTATAAAGTTATCCAATTAAATTAAAGTATAAATCTTTTTATGTTCATTGTATTATATTTTTAGATTATAATTCTTTATTATTCCGCTACAATACGTTATAGACAAAATTTAAAATTTATAAAACTTATTTTATAGTAAAACTTTAATTTTTGTTTCTTAGGTATTTTGCTCAAGAAATAGATCTCTCTGGTATGCAGGTTGATGTTGCACTACGCAAGTTTCAAACTTACTTCCGTATGCCTGGCGAAGCACAAAAAATTGAAAGAATCATTGAAGTTTTTAGCCATAGATATTGCCACTGCAACAGAGATGTTGTAGCAAGATTGAGAAACTTGGACACAGTATTTATATTGGCATTTGCAATTATCATGCTCAATACTGATTTGCATACACCTAATCTAAAACCGGAACGTCGAATGAAAATGAACGATTTTATCAAAAATCTACGAGGTTAAAGTGCTTATAGTACTGTTAACAATAATATATTTATTATGTTTGTTTTGCATTCTTTATAGGTATTGATGATTGTTGTGATATTGATAGAGATATGTTAGTTGGAATTTATGAGCGAATTAAAGCAAATGAATTCAAACCTGGATCAGATCATGTTACTCAAGTTATGAAGGTGCAGTCTACAATAGTAGGCAAAAAGCCAGTAAGTTAAATGCAATTGAATAGTAATCACAACTCAATTTGCTACGTATTTTTCATGCATGACATAATAGTAATTCACAGAATCTGTTCTCTTCATTTATTAAATATATTTTATATTTTACAGTCTAAATGGACAATGGCCTATATTATTAATTGATTTTACATTTATTTTTATGTATTTCATAATAGTTGTGGCATTATAAAATTTTAATTTAGGAACATCCAATTAATCTGTTTTTATTAGATTTAAATAAATTTGTTTATCTGTTGGTACAGTCAATATCTTAAATTTTGGTTATATTATTAACATTATTGAATATGAAAACTTTAAAATTAAAAATTTTTCAGAATTTAGCATTGCCACATCGCCGGTTAGTGTGCTATTGCAGACTATATGAAGTAGCTGATATTTATAAAAAAGAACGACCTGGTGTTCATCAACGAGAGGTATTCCTCTTTAACGATCTTCTAGTCATTACCAAAATACTTTCCAAAAAGAAAAATTCAGTAACTTATACTTTTCGTCAGAGTTATCCATTAAATGGTCTAACTGTTTCTTTATTTCAAATGCCATGTAAGAACAATTTTAACTTAAAATTCAATAGTACTGGAAACATGGTTTTTAATTAAAAATTTTGCTTCAGATTATCAGTTTGGTATCAAGCTTACACAGCGTTTAGATAGCCGTCTATTGATAACATTCAATGCACGAAATGATCATGATCGTTGTAAATTTGTAGAAGACATTCGAGAATCAATATGTGAGATGGATGAAATGGAAAATTTGAGAATTGAGTCTGAACTTGAGCGTCACAGACATGGTCATAATAACCGGTACATTTAAATATTGCATACGAAATAGGTTATTATTTTCATTTATATTATTATTTCTTAATATTTAGATCAGTTAATAGCAATTCGGAAAATCGAGATAGTGGAGTTGCAGATATTGATCTGGGACCATTACCCTCTCCACCAGTGCGCAGTCCCAAACAACACCCTGATGATTCATTTGAGAACAACCCGTCATCACAGGCTACACCAAAACGGGCTGCATTGACTGTTACTTGATAATACGATTAGATTTATTTTTAACATTCTAAGAAATTTTTTTATAGAGCACCAATATATTTTTATTTGTTTGTTTGTTTTTTTTTTTAATACACCTATTTTATTATATAATATTTGTTCTTTATTTTTTGGCAATAAGTCAACAGTATTAATATTCTATGACAAATTAATTATTATTACACAACTATATGTATGGTGCAGACTTAGTTAACCGTATTATAGTACAAGCAGAGATTTTCAGAATGTTCATTATGTTATATTTTGTATGTAGACTCGTGCCAGATTAAGAATATGACCAGTAGCATTTGTGGGCAAGCACAAAATAACTTCTACCGGTGCTCTGCTGTCGGCATTAGAATACAGACCATTAATTTATATGATACACTATGCCTCCATGCTCAAGTAATACACGCGTAATGCCAACAAAGCGTTGAACAAATGTAAATATGTACGCCTGGTTATATTCTTATTCCAGCATGAGTATTGTGTAAGGATTAGAAAAATTCAATAGATTTTGAACGTTGTAATCATTGAATGTTCTACAGATGTAAGGTATGTGGCTATTTCTGCACCACACTGTGTATTAAATTATACAAGTTTACAACTACTTATATTTGTGTTACATTTTTATAAAGTCAAAATGTTTTAATATTTTTAACTAGATTTGCTGTGGCCTTGCTTTTGAATTGTAACCTTTAAAAATATATTTATAATAATAATTGTCTTTTAATGTAACAACTATTATGTGTAATTATTTTTCTTTGTCATTTGTATTTATATTGTAACATGTCAATATTTTTGACAATTTTTAATGTAAACCTTAAAATGACTTGTAACGAAAAAAATATTGTATTTTTATCTACTATAAAAAATATTGAAGAATTATGTACCTACATATAATAAAACCAAATTGATAATTAAATAATATCTTTTTACATTAAATTTAATGCATAATATATATATTATTTTTTTTATTCTACTTGGTGCATATAGATGTGTTAGCCTGTTTGGATGGCGTTCACATGTGTTCAATGGACACAGCAAAATCTTGAATAGCAAGCCTCGCAGAGTAAGTTTTGTTCAAATGATTGCCTTGAACAAATGGTACGCATTGCATTATATGCTGTTCATATGTACGTACATAATATAAGATGAATGCATGCTCAAGTCTTGTTGAACAGCAAACGATGAGCGAAGAAAATAATATTTTTAAAAGGTGTGACATATTGAGTTGTCATAATATTGTCTCAAAACTGTTTAATATCCATTTAAATTTACCGAAAAAGTTTTTTTGCTAGGTCAATATGAAGTCAAATAATAGTAAAATGTACAACTCATATGACAGATCTTTAAAAATATTATGCTCTACAATTTTTGTAATTGATGATTTTACTCAAAGATAGTTAAAAAATCATTTAAAAAATAACATTTTTCATTAATATGTTTTATCTATGCCGTGAGTGTACCTGAGAGAGAAAACCAATATTGTGCTGACATCCTGCTAAAGATTAAAGATATGTGAATTCCTTGTCAACCCTGTGTTACACTCGTTCTATTTTATTGCATGATCCTACACACACAGTTATTTTGACTGAGTGTATAATTTAATTTACACAGTTTCAATACTTAAAAATTTTACTTCATTTTTCATTGTTTTATTTTTTTTTAATTTTATATATATGTGCTTAAATTTTCATTAAAAAAATAAAATGTTATATCAAAAATTATGATTTTCATCTCAAATTTGGTCACATTAAATAATATTATATGTATACAAATACTGTATATATCTTCATTAATTCAATTACTATCCTTATTTCATGTTCTTGGCGGAAATTATAACTTTGTGGTGTTGTCTGTGCCTGCGCATTCTTTACAAAAAAAATGTTCACAATTAGTACAATATGGTGTAGTTTTTCTGTAATGTGAGTTACAGAGGAATAGACAAGTAAATAATATTAATGTATTATTTTAATTTAATGATTAAAAAATACCAAATGTATATACATTATTTATAAATGTTTGATACAAAAAGCTTTTGTCGCATTAATTCATAGGTCAACAAATTTATTAATTATACATAAATATAAAATAACCCGGTTATTCAGACAAGTAGACATACAATGCAGGGTGAAAAATAATCGGTAAATTGCAATTCATTAATTGTGTTCAACTTAAAATGGTGATTAATGCTGGAGTAATAGTTACGGATTATTGTTATAGGTTTGATATGACGCACCTGTTTGGCTGTACTTAAATCCTATTATTCCGTAATAGGCTTAATTTGTCGTTCTAGGTAAGTATTTAAGAAATTGATTGAAATGATTTTGCAATAATGTTTTTATAGAATCTTAGAACATACAACAGCATATGTAAATATGTTCTATGGCAGAACTAACACTCTTACAAATGAAAAAATGTTGTACTCAACTAAAACCCACAAGCAACATAATATGAAAAAAAATTCATCCCTCTCCCCACAAGCTAAATACGGCGATAGAGCAATACTATGACATCTAGTGGGTACTTGTGGTATTTTTCCAAATATATCACTTGTATCATATTATTTCACATATCACATAGGTATTATTAAAAATAAATAAAAAATCTAAATAGTAAATATAATGGCAATATGGTGATCGTCCACTCTCAATTGGACTTTTTTAACAGATTTATTTAATATATTTTAGAGATAATTGTTTAACCATCATAGTCCCTAAAACTAGTAAAACTTTAAAATAATTTTATGGTTTGCAGAATGATCTAAGATAATATATTTTATTTTGATAGATAAAATTTGGTTGGCGACCTTCATAACTAATAATTATATAGGTAGGTTTGTTTCTCTGTTACAAAAAGCCAACAAATCTTTTGTTTAATCCATTAATATTCTGGGCTGTGATATCCAACCTTGATGTCTTCTTAACCTTAATACTAGGTAGGTATTTCGTAGTCTTCAAAAGGAATTTAAGTGGTGATGATCTGTATGTGTCTAACACGTCATACAACATAGGCATTTAGATGTGTTAAATTTCCAACGTAGAATCTGAAAATAAACTTAAATATGTCTTCAAGTCTAATTAAGATTGACTTCCTCTCTAAATATGAACAAGTTATATTTCAAAACCAGGGAAGTAGGTTGTATACATTTTGGACAAAAACAAATCTTATATTATTTTAAGTAGCGAATAGTAATAATTATAAATAAAGTCTAATATATTTTATATATTAATCCAACTGTTATACCGATGCACCGTAGAACAGTATGAATTAGTCCATGATATATAATAAGTAGCTTGAAAATAATTTAAATATTTAAAAAAAATAATTGTGTAAGTATAAGAAATAATAATATTTAAGTGCAATTTCAAGTAGTCAAGAAAAGTTATAAATATATTAGTACTTTACTTTTTGGTAATAAATAATATTTTCTTAAATTGCAACAAAATAACTTAGCAGCCAGAGTGTTGGCCATAACAGTTTCAATAATAAATTATCCAGATCCAACTAGCAAATAAATCATTTTGATTTTGTTTACAGACAAATGACAATATTCAGTATACTAAGAGTAAATGGCAATTTATTGGTTTCTTAATATTCAGTAGGTAGCTTATGTTTTAAAAACAAGGTTTGTATAGGTTTGTCAATTTTTTCATATGGCCTCTGGCAGGTTGGATCATGCAAATATTTCAATATGACAATAGTGGATTACTATTTTACTAAGTTCTGTTGAATATCATTAAATAAATCCCAAATAAAGCTTTTGAAATAACTATTTCCAATTTAGTAGATAATATTTAAATAAAATAATTTAATATTTTTAAATCCTGAGCAGAGTGAAAGAATGTATTGATTTTACAATTAGGAGTTTTTTAATTGTTATCAATACCTATATAATTTTTCGCTCGATCATAAAACCTAAAAAATTTAAAACAAGGTTCTTCATAATCTGTAATAATGGCAGTTAAATAATATTCTGATTTGAATTACAATCTAACAAACAAACTTGTAGGTACGCATAAATATATTACTCTATGATGGGTGTAGTGTGTACACTTTAGAATTGTAGATACAAATTTGGATTATAAATGAATACAATATTTATAATCAATGCAGTCCACACTTGTAACCACCGTAATGTCACCCACATCGGAATATCAGATAGAGTCTATTCACTAAATGTAACATATTATATAATGTATATAATATAAATAACTATGTTTCATTTCTATGATTAGTTATTTTTGATCACACAGGCATATTTTGTATTTTTATACTTCAAAATCCGGTGTATGACGTATTGACGTTCTAATACTTGAACATTTCCTCCTTGAGTTTTTATTTTAATTTAAAATACTGGTCCATAAACGTATGACTTTTTTGTTTATTTGTTGGAAGGAGGCATAAGCCGTCAGTTATTTCAGTGAAGGGGAGCTAAACCGTAAAAGGTTATGAACCACTACCCTAATCTAATAAAAACTATATCCTTTTATTATCGTATATTTTTATAGGAATATAGAATTACGAGTATAAGCGGTGACATAACTTCAGGCAGGTTCAACCCCCCCCCCCCCCCCGAAAATTAATAGCAGTGTAATGTATTTATATCAATCATTGATAACTACAATAACTGGTCGGTGACAATTATTTGTTTATGACCCCCCCCCCCTCGAAATTTTTTTTGTGTACGTGCCTGACTTCAGGGTTTCTTAGACAGTGGCAAAACGTTGACCTGGCCTTATCCAAATAACAAATGTTTGTTCCTCTAAGGGTTTTCGCTTTTTTCAATACAATTAACTACTCCAGCCATTCCTGTTTCATTGAACTGTTCCTAGTGTTGATGTCTTATCTATATTAAATTACCTACATATAAATAATATTTATAGTTAAAATTGTTTTTCTTTTTAGGAGACGCCGTTGGGTCAATAAAATCTAAAGAATTACGTAAAATTACGCCACTGAGTAGATACATATGTAATGTATTATAAGCAGAGTGAAGGGCTGTGAACTGACAAAAAGACCTATTGTATTCTTCTGTCGTCTGTTTAAATCAGGCACGTATAGCCAAGAGTTTCCTGCAGGAGAGGACATTACGAAAATAACAACCCTTTGGTAAAGAACAAAATGTACTACCTATAGTATACTATACTTACCTAATACCCATGTTTGTCAATACACAATAATAGATTGTCTACTGCACTTATATTCTAAAAATGTATACATTGAATAATGCCTATAATATACCTATTGAAATACAATAAATTATTTCCCATCATTTAATTGTAGATATACTTTTACCTGTAATACATGAACTCGGTAGGCTCGGTCGAGGAGGGTATGTTAATAACCTATACAACGCACCACTCCTCGCTACACGCCACTCAAAATCGAAAGCTTTTATTATACGATCCG